CAGGGTTTGTGGATTGTAATTCAGGTCGGCCGTTTTGCTGGCACTACTAAAATTATACTGGTCAATAAGTACTGGGTGCTGGAGCTGCTGAGCGTCGTACCCAAAGCGAAAGTTAGCGTTCCCCATCAGAAACGAACTGCTTTCGCTTTGCGCTTTTATTTCGACATCAACCCATAGCTTCTGGGTGCTACAGTCGACCTTATTTAACTTTAAACGAACGTCAAATATCCCGTTCTGAGCCATTACCTGCGGTGTAGACAGGTAACATACGGAGAGAAGTGTCATGCAAAACCGGGTCATAGCCATTATCCTTTGGGTCGATTTCATAAGATCTGAATAAATGAATGAATTGACCGGGTGGGCATAAACGATACGCCCACCCAGCCTATTCTGCCTTAATGCGGTACTTTAGAATAGCGGCCGTTGTTCTTGTTCCAGAGTACGCTATCGCTAAAGTTCACATCGGCATCCATATTGAAGTCGCCCAGACGGTACTGATCGAAAATACCGCTCTCATCTTTCCACAATTTGGAATCGAAGAAGTTGATATCGAAGTCGTCCGTATAGGTGTCTTTCTTGCCATCGCCACCGTACATCATCCACCGGTTATCAATCTGAATCTCACCGAAGGACGGTGGATTAGTAATCATGTACGAATTCTGGGTCGTGAAGTCAAATATCAATTTGTTGTTCACAACAGGTACACGAGTTGGCGACATGACGCCCATGTGATTGCGGTGTTCGATAACGGGGAAGTACGTACCATTCGGAATGGTGAAGCACGGATTCACAAAGCTGATCTGACCATTACTGTGCAACAGACCCGCAACCCGGAAGGCCGTGTTTGTTGTCAGCGAATCTGTCCGCAGTGATACCAGTACCCAATCGACAACGTCGGCTGGATAGTTCGTCACGCTTTCCGTACCCGTGTAGTTCCAGGGCGCCGTGTTATAGGGCTGACCCGCTGGCGTCGACACAGCAAACATACCGATTGGTGTTTGGCCAGGCAGCAACCCGCGACTGTTGAGCGTCGTGTTCATCAGATGCGTCGTCGTATTATACGGCCCTTCCAGCAACACTTTCAATTCAAGCGTCACACAGCTTGGTGTACAACTCGTTGGTGCTGCGATCGTAATGGACACTGGCGGACAACTGTTGTTCGTTAGTGTCAGCACGACTGGCTGTCCTGCCAGAATGTTCGTTACGGCATTCGCGCCAACCGTACCCGAAGAAGCTGTTACTGTACCCGAGGTGCTGTTTGTTATATACTGCACATCGTAGCTAGTTCCGTTATTCCGGCATATGATGCCAGAGATGCCGAAGGCTGGCTGCACACAGACCGAGCAGGACGCCGGAGAGTTGACAACTACACTGGCTGAACAACCTGGACCGTTCGTTGCGGTTACCGTCAGTTTAGTTCCTACTGGAACTGTAATCCGATTCCCTGCAGAGAACACGCCCACATTAGCCGTCACACTGGCTCCTGGGGAGACAAGGTAACCAACACTGTAGGTGCCGTCACCATTACAAATAGGCTGGCAAACAAACAGCGAAGGCAATGTACAGACAGGCGGGTTACAACCGGTTGGTGCAGCAATCGTGAAGCTGGTGGTCTGATAACAGCCATTCTGCGAATTAATCGCCGTTACGACAACTGCCGTTACACCGGCTGGTACCGTAACCGTTCTGGTTGCCATGTTCACCGTTGCGCCGTTGCTGACCGTCACACTTGTACCATTGGTTAGATAGGTGAACGTGAAGCCGCCCGTTGTTGGATTACAAAGCGGGTTGCAGAAGGTAAGCATCGGCGCCGTGCAGGTTACAGTCGAACAACCCGCTGGCGGATTGACCGTTTTCACCTGCGGACAGGCATTGGTCATGCCATTCGTAGCTGTTACACTCAGGACTACCCCAACTGGGATACCTGTGATGGTACCGGCGACAGCCGTGTTGCCCTGATTGGTCACAATAACGGTACCCGGCGTGGCAACGTAGTTCACACTGTAGGTCTGCGTAGCTGTCTGACAAACCGGCGCGTTAAACACGATCAGTTCTTGCTGCGTACAGGCGGGTGGGCAAACCGGTGGCCGAACCACAGCGATTTGAGCCGGACACGTACTATTCACAGCTGTCACACTCAGAACCGTACCGACTGCGACGTTGCTAATGACCCCAGCGGAAACCGTGCCTGCCGAAGCCAGTACCGTTACCCCAGGAAGGGCCGTGTAGTTTACGCTATAGAAACCAGTCGACGAACAACTCGCTCCTCCGATACTGATTAACTGACCGTTGCAGCCCGTTGGCGAACAAGGTGCCGTTGGCGAAGAAATCACCCCTACGGCCGTTCCACAACCTGCCAGCGTAGCCACCACCGTTACGTTGCTACCGACGGTGCCCGTTACGACACCTCCAGCGATACTTGCCCCTACACCCTGCACACTCAATAGAGCACCCGGACTGGCCGTTACCGAAGCGGTGTAGGTCGTTCCGCCACAAAGTGCGTTACCCACCGAAACGGTTGGCAGTGCGGTACAGGAAGGAGGTAGCGTACAGGTGGCAGGTGCCAGGATATTATTCACTACGGTTCCACACGAGGCAGTAGCCGTTACACTCAGATTCGTACCGGTAGTTACTCCAGTGATGGTTTGGGTTGCCGAATTAATTACACCACCGTTGGCAGTCACCGTAGCCCCGTTGCTAACCACGTAACTCACGCTGTAC